AGTCTAAATTTCATTCTAAGTGAAAAGGGAAACCACTGGAAAGTACTAAGAGAGAAATGATAGGATCTGACTTGCATTCTTAAAATACTGGATGGGCTCTTATCTACAGAATGGATTATGGACCAGATAAAAAGCAGATGGCATGAGGAAATGAGATGGGAGACAAGGTAGGATCAGTCACGATCCAAGGGTGGGTGGATGGTAGCATGGATGCTGGTAAGAACCTTGAAAGACGACATTTTTTTCATTCTGTGTGCTTACAAACAGAACCTGAAGCACCACATACACTGCAACTGTGGCAAAAGCCATCAGATAAAAGGGAAAAAAAGACGACCAAATTCAGGTATAAAAAACACAGACGTGGGTAGATGTGATAAACAAAGAAAACGATCCATTCATACATGTTAAAGTAAACACTGATGATGTGTGCCAGTCACCCCAAGTCAAAAAGGTCTTGAGTTCAAGGTCAGCCCTGACTACATATTAAGAACTTACCTTAACCATTCTTATCTCCAATAAACAAAGCAACAAAATCAGAATTTGCTCTCATAAAAAGTTCTGTATAATACAACATTATTTTTCCGGTAAGATGTCACTCTACCCATGATGTGAATCTTGACATTTGCTACAGCTGTCTAAACTCCTTCTAGTGTTATCACTTTGGTCACTATCTTAGTCACTCCTCTATTGCTGTGAATGGACACGAAGGGACTCATAAAAGAAAGCATTTAAAATAGGTGTTGGTGGTACATGCTTTTAATCCTGACATTTGGGAGGCAGAGGCAGGTGGTTCTCTAAATTTGCAGCCAGCATGGTGTACAGAGTGATTTACAGTACAGTGAGGACTATACAGACAAATCTTGTCTCACAAAAACAAAAACAAAAACCCAAAATGAAAGAACGCATTTAATTAGGGGCTTGCTTACAGCATTACATTTTCAGAGGTTAAATCCATTGTCATCACAGTGGGGAACATGGTGGCATGCATGGTGCTGGGACAGTAGCTGGGAGCTAAGTTCTGATCTTCTGGTGGTGAGAGGGGTTCTGGCATTGCCTTTTAAAATCTCAAAGCCCACCCCCACAAAACCCCTGGTGTCACACTTCCTCCAACAAGGCCATGCCTCCTAATCCTTCTAATCCTATCAAAGAGTTCCACTCCCTGGTGACTAAGCCTTCAAATCTATGAGCCTATGGGGAGCATTCTTATTTAAACAACAGTTTCTTTTCCACAAAGGAACTATTCTGAGATGTCAGAGACTTCTAGACACCCCCACAAGATGCCCTATTTCTTTGCCAAATGAGCATCTCTTAAACTGGCTTCTCTGCCTGCTTAGAAGACCATTAAATCCCAGGTACTGAGCGTTGTCTCTAATTCCCTTCTTTTCTTCACCCACCTGTCAACTCAGTAACCATGTCTTTTGTTCTACTACCTTGGAATTTTACTTTTTCCCATTATCTTTCCCTTTTCTGCTTTCTTCCTTTTAGCCATATCTGGTACTTTTGGTCAACCTATCCTGGCAGTTGGGAGCCCCAACACCACAAAGTCACTGTAAGATCCAGCCCTGATCCAGGGAAAGGTTTGCCTAATGTAAGTGTGATAACTGCTCTAGCAGAGGAGGGCTTCCCCAGCGAAGCTATCACAGCTCTGCTCTCATCTGTTCTGAAGAGGTGTTACAGCTCTGCCCTGCAAGGGGAAAGTTTCCCCAGGGAAAGTATTACAGTTCTGTTCTGCTCTCCTCTGGCTCTTGTTAAAGTTGTTAGTTACAGCTGGGTTCTACTCTGGTGAAAATGTCACACCCCATAACAAACCTCATGCAAGAAAGGAAGAATCTAGAAGGTCTCTAGGGTGAGAGGCAGCACCAAACTTAACAGGGTACAGAGCTTGTATAGGGTTACTTTGTTGGGGAGAGGGTGCTTCCCAGGTGGTTTAGGATTGGTGAATTTTTGTGGCCTGACTCTACAGCAAGCTTAGTGTTGGTGAGATTTCATGCCCAGGTTTTGGTGAATTTTGTGCTCAGGGAACTTAGGAATTGGTAGGATTCTGCAGCAGAGTCTAGGCAAGCTTAGGGATTGGTGAGATTTCAAGCCTTGGTCTTGGGGGTCAAGTCAAGGTCAGGTCTACTCAGGGGCAGGGTGTTCCTTCCTTAGCCCTTTTCACCTCTCCCTCCTATTTCTCCTGTATGCCACCTTTCTTTCATTGGGGTACAATTTCTTCACCTTTTATATCTAGCCTTGGCCACCAGAGGTGCTTTGGTCAATGGGACATTACTGAAAGTACAAACTTAGTGTTCATATGTGAACTTACACTCTTGTTTGCAGTTGTAACCTTGAGATCACACTGTGAATGAATTTAAGCTGCCCTGCCACCTATGGAGAGGAAAATGGAGGAACCCAGAGAGGCAGATGAGATGTTTTAGATGGAGCAACCTCAGCAGAGTTACTGTATGGCTCTGACCTCATGTCTGACCCCAAGATAACAAAAAGCACTGTGGAGTCCCTTCTAAATTGTTGGCCCACATTCTTTTCAGCCATCAGATGGATATTGTTTTAAGCTTGCTTAATTTGGGGCTGCCTCTTAATGCAGCAACAAATAAATAATTGTTTGGGTGGGGGAGCTGCTCACATTTCACAGGAACCTAAGGGCTGGAGCTAAGATCCCAACTGAGGTCTCCTGACAGAGTTTCAGTGCTGCTACAAAATCCTGGAGAAAAGAGCTCCAGGGAAGTTCTTTTGGCTCAGAGTTTTGGAGGTTTTGGTTCATCAGGGTGGGAAGGCAGCCTGAACAGTTGTCCACATCACAGCAGTCTTGAAGTAGCTAGAGCTAACTGGCTCTCTTCATTTTACTGTTTAATCCTTGTGCCTCTAACCTGTAGAACAGTGGTGATACTACATTCAGAGCAGATTAGTCCTTAGTTAAAGTCTGCCTTGAAACTCCCTAATTGTACAAGTGTGCTTGACTAATCTACTAGCCACCCCCATAACCTCATTCAAGATTAAATAGCACACTGGGAGCTCCCCCACCATATCTCCCAAAAGACAACCCTGAGCTTAAATCATGTGTGAGCGAAGAAAGGACGCTCACACACATATTGGATATCCTACATCATGAGATAGTTCGAGAGACCTCAGTGTATGATGAGACTTTTTCTGTCTTTAAAGGAGCAATGCCTCCAGGGAATGGCAGAGCATGCCTTTAATTCCAACACTTGGGGAGGCAGAGCCAAGTGAAACTCTGAATTTGATGCCAGCCTGGTCTACAGAGCTAGTTCCAGGACAGCCAGGGCTTCACAAAGAAACCCTGTCTCAAAAGAAGAAGAAGAAGAAGAAGAAGAAGAAGAAGAAGAAGAAGAAGAAGAAGAAGAGGAGGTGGAGGAGGAGGAGGAGGAGGAGGAGGAAGGTGCGAGGAAGTACATCACTGCAAGTGGTCTTTCAGGTCTCAGAAGCTCAAGCCAGGCCGAGTGGCTCAGTCTGTTCCTGCTGCCTGTGAATCAAGATGAAATGTTTTCATTTATAAGAGTTGCCGTGCTCATGGTGTTTCTTCACAGCAATAGAACCCCAACTGAGACAGTCCTCAACCAAACATATATGATTTGTTCTATATTTGGAAAAACGCCCTTGAACCCACTTTTGTTTGTCTCTAGAAATCAAAACATATTTGTCAACAATCCTTTTTCTATTTAAAAAAATGTTTTAAAATTTTTTGAAGGCTCCAAGCAACTACATCAACCTTAATCTAAGGGGTGCCCCATCCCTTTACTACTGGGGCTAATGGACAGATTTTCTTATGGAACTAACATGGTCAATGCCAGAATGATGGGAAAGCCAATGGTCTGAAGTCAGGGTTATATAATCTAAATGTGAATAGCCTCTCCAGGAGTTGTACAGAGCGTAGCTTGCACAACAAATCACAAAGTAAACCTGACTGTGGAGTCAGGAGGTGAAGGATGTCTGTTGCTAAGCCAAAATTCAATAGGTGAGAACTGATTTGTAGAGTCTGTCCTCCCATGTTCTGTGGTTCATGCCCAGGCACACACACACACACACACACACACACACACACACACCTTAAAAGTATGTACTGAGTCTGGAATATCACAGTTCAGTAAATGCCTGTTGAATAAATGAATTACCACATGAAAGAATGAATTACAATATAAGACCATGAAATACTCATTGGAATGCATATACTCATCTGGATTTTAGCATACATTTCAGTAGTTTGGTTTTTTCCACTGGACAATAACCAACTCTTAAACTTTATTGAAGATGAGGTCACTTCAGCCTTTTACTTGTTCTTTCTAGGTCCAAAGGAAATCCAGCCATTGCAAAGCAGGAGCAAAAACAACTCCCTTCTCCTCAGACTCAACGAGAGATACACCCCCCAACACTGAAGAATCTTGGGTGAGTTGTAGTTAAACTGTAAACACTAACTTTGTGTATAGTTTTACGACTCAATTTTCCCTTTTTATGAGAGTATAAAACATATTTTAAAAATAAATAAATATTTAATGGAAGTGTATGATGGTTGACACTGGAAGTGTCTGAATCTGTCATATACAATGTAAGTACATATTTAAATATGTATATTATGAACATTTAAAACAGCCATGGCTCAAGATAATGTTAAGCCTCTTATTTGAAACATTACTCTCTAAATATGAACCCACTAGCATCTTAAATACAGATTGCATTACATGTATAGGCAAACATTGTAAAATATTTTAATCTAATGTTTATTCTTCAATTTTTCTGTCTTTCAGAAAATACTGCCCTACGTGCCTACTTTACTAAGATAAAAACATAAAAATTCCTCATCTGTACTTTTTGTCTTAATGTAAAAATCTATCACATAAATAGAAAACAGCTTCTCTTCTATAATTCCTTTCCTGGGCTCTCCTTGTTTCTATTTTCATGGCGTTAACATTCTCATCTTCTCTTATGACATAATAAGATAATGTATCTAGACCCACTGTCAGTCATCAGTGCCCTAATACCCAGCCCAACATCCTAATAGGAATCACCACTTAAACATTCTCCTGACCCTGTCTGTGCCTCAGCCAACAGCATTGCCATTGGTACATTTAACACAATGGACTAGATTGCCATTACCTGGGCATGGTTTCCCTTCACACCCCCTCCTCTGGCTCAATCCAGGAACTCAGGCAAGTAGTCCCTTCCCATGTAGTTCCCCATCTTCTCCCATTCTGTGGCCCCAGTGAAGCTGTTAGGACAACTTCTCCGCATGATTGTCCCCTCCTCTTTGGAGACAGTGATTCTAGTCCCTCACTACCTGATCTGCCACCAGTCCACCCAGACCTCAAACTACAATCAGTGTCTAATACAACCAGGCTACCCTAATTTTTTTTTTCACATAAAACTCTTCACAGACTTCTCTTTGCTCTTCAACTATGGTACATGTTTGTAAACCTTTGTAAATTGGCTCTGACCTCCTCTATAATCATAGCTCAGGCACTCTCTTCCACTTTTGTTTGTTTTTGCTTTTGCTTTTCAGGACAGGGTTTCTCTGTGTAGTCCTTGCTGTCCTGTAACTCACTGTGTAGACCAGGCTGGCCTCAAACTCAGAGATCTTCGTGCCTCTGCCTCTCCAGCGCTGGGATTAAAGGCGTGTGCCACCATCACCCAGCTCTCTTCCATCTTTTAAACCGGGGCTTTGAGCCCTACCTGTCCTGTGACAAGAGGAAAGCACACAGCGTCATGCAACCTGCTAGCACTCCCTAGGTTTTCTTCAGCCCCTCTTGCCTGATTGTTTTCTCCTTCCTCAGCTTCCAGTAAAATGTTTTCTGACTTCCCATCACATTGAATCATCTTCTGTTTCCCCACTGCACCCTGTTCCTCTTGCACATGCCTGGTGTCAGCTGACCTGGGTGAACCACACAATTCCCGGAGGAGGTGAGGAAGAGGGATGTATCTCCGTTTTTTACTCAGACAACAGCTAGGTGGTGCCTGCTGTTGTGTATGTCCTAAAAAAAAAAAAAAAAAAAAAAAAAAAAAAAAGCTGTTTGGTGAATGAATTTTCATTCAAGTCTTTGGAATGACCTGAGATTGACCTATAAACTTCCAGAAACAGGAAAAGGGAGGCCCACAGGTTCAGAGGGTTATATGACCACATATAGTAAAAGCAGGCCAGCTAAGTCCAAGACAAAGTGCAGCAAGTTAAACCCCTTTTGCCTGTCTCTCCTCCGCTTTAACAAATGTCTAAGTTTAGATCCTTTTCACCTGCTCCTTTTCCAAGGTTTAATGTTCGTGATTAATCTGTGTTTGCCTTAATACAGCTGAGACTGTGTCGATGACCTCAGCTGAACTGGCAAATATGCTATACGAACTGAATAAGGAATTAAAACCAAAACCCAAAACAAAACAAAACAAAGCTCCTCTAGATCCTAAATAAATATATTCATGCCAGATTCTGTTTCAGACCTTTGCTCATTGGAAAACGTACCATGATTCCAAAGAGCAATGCTTGGGGTGTAGTAAACAACATTAAAGGAAAAACAGTCCTTGTTAAAGAAAATGCTGTTTCAGGCCAAAGTCCCAGAGATCATAAAAGATACATGATGTGATAAACAAAACGAACCAGACAGGCCTGTTCAGTGACTAACCACTGATTGAATTTCCAACACGCCTGGACTGTCTGAGAGATAGAGCACTCACAAAAGGTCCATGTTAAATATTAGGCTGTCAGGTTTTTCTTTTCTTTTTTTTTTTATGTTTCTACTGAGGTCCAAGAACACTTGAATATTTTCCTTCCTCTTTCAATTTTCTTCCGTTTCTTCCTCTTATTGGTTGTTTGTGTTTTTGAATTTTTTATGATGTGTGAAGACTGGCAAACAGTTGCTATGATTGTCAAATGCCTTAAATCAAGAAGAAAAAAATGCAATAAAACAGTTTCCATGGTAACCCACTGCAACTTAGTACCTCTGGATTATGAGCCAGCTCACATCCATGATCATTACTTGTTGACAGGCATAAATGGAGCCTAAAAGCATTAATTTTAGAGATAAAGCTGAGATGTAGGGCTAAGTTATAATAACGTTTCAATATTTCCAAGGCAGCAACAGCAAACGGACACCAATTGTGTCACCATTTAGATGACGTTAATAAACTGAGCAGAGCATTTTGGAGAAATTGACAAGCTTTTCTCTCTAGGTGGTATAACAAATGAGCACTCCCCTCTTGGGGCTGCAAGTAGTAGGAGACATGTGCTTGATGGAGTTAAAAGAAACCTGATGCCAGAAATTATATGGAATGAAAGCTGGGCATGTTAATGAAGGAATA